GAGGAGTTGGTGGTTGCCTGGAATGAGATACCACAGGAGGACATTGACCACCTGATCAGAAGCATGCCTAGACGCGTTGGAGAATGCGTAGCACATCAGGGTGCATCCACACATTATTAAAGGTCAAAGGGCTTTAAAGCAGTGCAATCATTTTGAAATTAATTTTTATCATTTACTTATTATGCTTCATTAATACTTATACAAAATTTTATTGAAATAAAACCATTTAAACTGGGTGTTCGGATTTATATGTCGCTTAGCATATATCCAAAAATACTAACAAACCTCCTACAAAATTTCCTAGATACATGGTGCTGTTAGTAAGCATAAAATATGAATATTGTTCAAATATTGTTATGATGAAATAGGATTATTCTCTCCATACACTACAGAAAATTTTCCATATGAAGCTTGACTAACATTTAGTAGAGTATTTTCAAATAGGACACGGGTTGAAGCTTCTGTACGGATTTTACCTCAAATCATCGTACCCGTTTTTCAGTCAGTGGCGTAGAAAATTTTTCTATCTTCAGTAGCGGTCAATATTTCATAATTTCTACACCAATAGTGTAATCTCGAACAGTACATTTCCTTAGAAATTTTAAATGACAAGGAGTAACGAGTAAAAGCTTGTTTGAAAGGTCTTTTGAAGTCCTTTATTTTGACGTTTGATTTTTTAAGATCAGCCGATTCGTTTTCGAGAAATTAGAAAAATCTTTATTTACTTTGATTTGTTCAGATGGAAAACAAAAACAGAAGAAAAAATCACTATTTATTTCAATAAGTGTCCAAATCTACAATTCGTTTATAATTTAAAACGGAAACTACCAACATAAACAGCAGACGTGGCAACAACCAAATAACAAACTGAATTTTTTCCGCTTTCTTTTCATCAACATAGATATCCTGGGCGAACTGTATTTATTTGTTGCTAAGGGAAAGAAAGAATTTAATTTGTGACAATCTTGGGATAGTGAAAATTAATTTATGGATTGATCTGAAGACATAATCTTGTTTAGATTTTAAAATTATAATTTCAACATCCTGTATATCGCTAAGGAGACATTTTAAAAGCATCGTTTATGAACTCGTTATTTTACGATTTACTGTAGATTGATACTTTTATTTTGGCAATTTTACATAATCTCTCATTTTTGTCAGTCTAGCAGTTCTATTTTCCTTCATACATCCGCCGTCGTACAGATTTGAAAAGATTATAAAATTAAAGTATAGAGACGTAAAATTTTCTTAATTTGTGCTATCGTATGAATGTAAAAAAATCAAGTAGGACTCTCAGACTGTGAAGCAGTGCTATAACGAAATTAAAAACTATTATTCTATTTCAGAAAATGTTTAGTATTAGACAAAAAGAAATACATATCAATATCCCGAAATATGCTGAAATATTCTTAAACATGTATAAACAGTTCTTTATACCGAAGATCCGCGACAGGGTAAGTTATGACGTTATCATATTTTATTTTGTGCTCCTCATTAATGAATATTCTAGTTTATCGTGCACAGCTCACCGAACGAGCTTCAAAAATATATACCAAAATCACTTCTACCGATGGATTATGGTGGAGATCTACCAAACCTGAGAACACTAGCTGGTAAGACGATACGATATATTTGTTTCTCTCATTTTTATATCACAGTCGGCAACTGCCAGATAGTAAACCTGTGAAGCGTTGGCCGTAGATTACAGGAAAGAGGTAAATTTTCTTATTTCTTTTTCGTGCTTACATACAATGTCGTCACCAGGAACAATTTTCGTTAAATGTCTGGATGGGTCTTGTTGGTGACAATTACTGGTCCTTTCTTTTTACTCTTCGAATTAAACTGCGAATCTTACTTATAAGTACTATATATACAGGGTGTTTCAGTTTATTGTTGCATAACTTTAAGATTCGATAGAACTTTTAAATTAATGCATAAAGTCTATATAAACATGGGTCGAAAAATGCGTGGCTTCCGAAATACAGGGTGTTTAAATTTACTTTCTAAAATAGTTTTTTTTTAAATATTTCGAACAATATTGATGTATAACAGTGAAAATTGGTATACAAGGGTTTTTTTGGTACGACAAAATGAACCATGGGCATAGTTTTACTGTAGCCGCTAGAGGGCGCTCTCTACTGTACCTGTAGTGTATTAAAATGACCGAAAATTTTTTCTTACTGCAATTTTTTGCTTGTTGATAAAAAAACTGATTCTTCGCACTTTTCTGCATAAAAAAGCTCTCTTGTGAGTTTTCGTTATAGTTAGCCGTTTTGAGATATTTCGATTTTTCAGGTTGAATGCATTTTTAATTATTTATGGGAAAATATATTTTTTTTTACATTTTCGATTTGGGCATTACAAGTAATTAGATGATCGTTTAGATTGTGTTTTAAACACAGCAATAATTCCTAATTCCAAATAAACACAAAAAACAGAATATTAATTGTTTAATTTTCCAATATTATTTTTAACAAATTAAATTAATTATTTACAACTAAAATGCTATTGGATAGTTAGGACAAACATACATAATCTAAAGTAGTTGCTCGAAATGTAAACCCAATTATTCAATACACAATTCACATCTACGAATGATCGAACGTGATATAGCATTATTCAAATAAGGCCTTATTTCATCACATGCATTCCTGATTCTGTCTATTAGCGTATCCCTTGTGGTTACGGGAGTCTGGTACACTTTTTCTTTTAGAAATCCCCACACAAAGAAATCTAATGGATTTAGGTCAGGGGATCGTGGCCGATCCATCTTTCTGGATAATTTTCGTCCAGCCAGTTTCTAACTATTCTCGAATAATGAGCTGGACAACCATCAAGCTGGAACCAGGCCAATCTTCTTAAATCTAACATAACATCATCTCACATATTTGCATGTTCAGCCTTTAAAAATTCCAAGAAGGTCGCAGCATTTAACCTTGAAGGCAAAAGGTAGGGTCCAAATAGTCGATTACGGTAGATACCAATCCACACGTTCACACTAAATTCATGCTGCAAATTTATTTCCCGAACTGCATGCGGATTTTCATGCGACCAAATATGTTGATTATGAAAATTTACCACTCCACGTCTAGTGAAGCATGACTCATCGGTCCATAAAACGTTACTTAAAAACTCCCTATTATTATCAGTTCTATCAAGAATCCACTGACAAAATGTGATTCTTCGTTCTCCGTCCCCTGGCTGTAGTCCTTGCACAGGTTGCAAATGGTAAGAACGTCTATGGTCATTTCTAAGAACACGGTGAACATGGCTTGCTGAAATTCCCAAGGCACCAGAAACTCTCCTAACACTTGTGGTCGGATCTCTATCAGACTCACGCAGAATCATACGGGTAAATCTGCGCTGACGAACATTTATGTTTTGATCCCTTTGGAGATTTCCAAAACCATTTTCAATGATTTCGCGATGCACTCTTACAAATACTGAGCGAGTTGGATGTCGTCTGTTTGGAAATCTTCGTGCGTATTCTCTGGCTGCTTCTGCTGCGTTTCCACTTACAAAGCCATACACAAAATGAATATTCGCTAACTCTTGATTGGAGAATAAAAATGGCATTTTAATAAAACTTACACAAAAAAAACAGGTAAAAGAAACTAAATGTCGTGCATTCACAATTGCAAAAAAACATTTCAGGTTTCAACAGACAACAAAACTAACTGTCAACTAATTGACGTTTAACCTTATTCTGCTTTCAATTTCAAAAATATTTGCAGGCACAGCCTACTTCTAAAAATTATCGAGATACTGACTTTTTAACGTTATTTATCATAAATAATTAAAAATGCATCGAACCTTAAAAATCGAAATATCTCAAAAACGGCTAACTATAACGAAAATTCACAAGAGAGCTTTTTTATGTTGAAAAGTGCGAAGAATCAGTTTTTTTATTCAAAAGCAAAAAATTGCACTAAGAAAAATTTTTCGGTCATTTTAATACACTATAGGTACAGTAGAGAGCGCCCTCTAGCGGCTACAGTAAAACTATGCCCATGGTTCGTTTTGTCGTACAAAAAACCCTTGTATACCAATTTCCACTGTTATACATCAAATATTGTTCGAAATATTTAAAAAAAACTATTTTAGAACGTAAATTTAAACACCCTGTATTTCGGAAGCCACGCATTTTTCGACCCATGTTTATATAGACTTTATGCATTAATTTTAAAAGTTCTATCGAATCTTAAGTTATGCAACAATAAACTGAATTACCCTGTATATATATATACATATATATATATATATATATATATATATATATATATATATATATATATATATAGGTGAAAAATTAACGCTTCCGCCTTTTGTTGGGTACTTCGACAAAATTTAATTAATATAATTTTAACCATTGTACCATGTATCCAGCTCTCACCATGTTACTGGACGAAAACAACAATTAAGCAACATCCTCACATACTACTCTCCTGATGATGATGGCAAAGTCCATTGAAGCTCGAGAGAATTAAAAAAAGTATAAAGAGTCCTCTTTGCTTAATTTTGTCGAAGTACCAACAAAAGGCGGAAGCTTTAATTTTTCACCTAACTGGTCTAGACGACAATGACCACGTCTCAAGTTATATATATATATATATATATAACGTATATATATATACTTTCATATTTTTTAACAAGGAATCACCCTCTAAACTATCTCCATCTATTTTTCGAACACCCTGAATAACGTCTTTGGGTGAGATGCTCTTGTGGGAAGGAAACGTAATCAAACGGACTTTCCAACAGCATGGTTATCGGTATCTTGGTTGAGGAGTACTCGTACATTTTATTTTGACACATCTCTGAAACACACTGCAAATCATATTAACAATTAGAAACAAATGACATTCCAATTAGAATTATTTGTTCAGATGAATGGAACAAGAATTTTGAAAAATATGCAGAAAGATTTGACCAACTGGAGAAGTTGAAGGTAGACGAAACACTGAGGTCAACCCCACTAAAAGACGACGAATTGTTGGGTGCTTATGGACACTTCAGAAAATTGGACATTGATTAGGTTATCTTAAGATATATTTTGTGCTACTTTTATAGTATACAGGGTAATTGAGGCTCTATTTAAACTTTGCACGCAGCGTTTTTCGTTGAACAATAGTAAAATTGTTTACTGTCTTTTGATCTATCTTTGTTTAATAAAATCATAATTGTATCCTTCTCCCTCAAAAGCTTGGTTGAAATTAGGATGGGCTGTGTGAACTAGAGATGTTCGATATACATCGATGCATCGGAGACATCGAGACACAGAATTCGATGTATCGAACGCTTCCGATGTTTCTCGATGCATCGATGCATTTTTATCGATGAATCGAAAACTTTTCATTTGGAATAGGTGTACTTACTTATTCTTCCTGTGAAATAATAATTTTTTTGAACATATAATGCAGTCTTAAGGAGCAGGGCAAACCCTTAATGAACAAAGAAACAGATTAAAAGGAAAAAGATTAAATCAGATTTTATTTTTACAAAGTTTCGATAAAAAATACTGGGACTCGGACTAGTGTTGTGCTGTTAAATACCCTGACAGTTTACCAAATAATATATTTTATATGTTCACAACTATTAACGTTCGATTTTTTGATAATTTTATATTGTCAGATGTCATCTACATCGTTGGGAGCCCTATTTTTGAGACAACCGTCGTATATCACTGTAGCTGTATGGCCAATAAGAACACAGAACATATTTATCTTTCATGCTTCATCAAAAAGTTTGGTTTTCCCAAAATATGGGGCCGCAGCAACTGGTTAATGAATATAAATTATTAATTTTATCCAATGAATAAGCGTCCAGATCTGTCAATAGAAATTTATTAATTCAATACTCATCATAAATTACGTAAACAATATATGAACAAAATAAATAAAAATACTTTAAACTAAAATTTACATATTTGAGTACGTATAATTATTTGTAGCTTTTAAACAATTCTACCAGCACAGCCTGTTCTTGTCTCTTGACGCATTTCATCTCCAGAACTTTATAAACTCTGTTAAGTGACAGTCGGGAAGCAGCATTTTATATTGCTCTACAAAATTCTTCGGAGGATCAGCAGGTGTCATCACCACTTTCAAAATCATTTCTGCTTTTGTCAGTCCTTTTGTAACCACCTTAAATAAAATTGGAAATACAGTTACAAAATATATTTCCAAAATTACAAATTCTACAAAATAAAACTATGAGAATCATTTTAAATAAAAACAAATATGCTAGGATTAAGTCTATGTTAGATGAACTACAATGGTTCAATATACAAAATTTCATATGTTATTTAGTCTCATTCATATTCGAATCATTCATTATGATCACATTTGGAAAACTTCACAAAATTAAATAGTCATTATCATAACTACGAAACTAGAGGCAGAATAGATTTTCATCTACAAAATTCTAATAGTAGCATAACTAGCAAATATGTATTTCAAAGGAACGTATCTGAATTTAACAAATTGAATAGATATTAAACAGTTTTCGAATTTAAAAATGTTTAAGACGTAATTTTAATAAATGGAAATGGATTTAAAAAAAATGGGTCACAAAGAGCCCTTTCACAAACATACAGGGTGCGTCATCTATTACTTTTTTCTATTTGAAGAATCAACACGATTTTTACGAGATGAAATCGAATTTTTTTATTGATAAATGAAGGTTGTTTTATGCCATTTATGTATGAAAAATAACATCAGTCATGTGACCATCGCGGCTTCGTTTACAGGCCAACATCCGAACATCAAAATTTACAATGACTTTTCCCAGAATAATCGGGTCTATTGTCCGGGGACCATTCGCATACACTTTTTCTATCAAAATCCCCAAAGAAAATAGTCAAGAGGTGTTAAATCGCACGATCTCGGGAGCCAACTGACATCTGAATTTCGTGAAATTATGCCGGCTTGAAATTTCGTGTGATTGTTTGGTGAGATGTGTGAGCCGTTGCTCCGTCTTGATGAAACCAAAGATCGACGGCACCAATACGATCCAATTGTGGCCACAAAGTCTGTTAACATGCCGCGATAACGTTCCCCGTTGACGGTAATGGCGTTCTCTTCGGCATCTTCAAAGAAGCATGGTCCAACCATGCCACCAGCCCATAATCTGCACCAAACAGCCACTTTTTCAGGATGGAGAGGTTGTTCATGATATTGGTGTGGATTTTCAGCCCCCAGAATCTGCAATTTGCTCATTTACGAACCCATTGAGGTGAAAATGAGCCTCATCAGAAAAGAGCACTTTGCCGAAAATGCGTCTTCTCTTTCCAATATCCAATTAACAAAAACACGCTGTTGTTGATGGTCTGCCGGCTTCAATTCTTGTGTTAGTTGGATTTTGTATGGATGGAGGTGTAATCAATGTGTAAAATCCGGCTTAAAGTGGTCTCACTAATTCCCAATTGTTGCGAACGGTGCCTAGTCGAGGTGGTTGGACCTTATCACACACTTTCACTCTTGCGGCTATGTTTTCACGAGTACGAGCTGGACGAGCATGTTGGTATGGTCTACGACCTTCAGCTGAACCAGTTTCCTCAAATCGATAACAATCCAACGAATTCCAGGCTCTGTAGGGCGTCCATGTCGGCCAAAACTAGTGCGAAGTTTGCGAAAAGTATTTTTTATATTTGACCGTTTTCGTAATAAGTTTGGATAACCAAAATGCGTTGTTGTTATAAACGAATCCATGACTATAAATGGCATACCTTTGACAGTTCATTTATGCATACCACACGACTTTTGACTCACATGGTCACACATAAACTTATAGGTAAAAAAAAAGTAATAGATGGCCCACCAGTATCTTTTAAATGAAAGACATTCTGTATTCCTTAGCCAGGATTGCAAAAATACCGTTAGTATTGTTTGGACAGCAAAAATGTGCACAAAACTGCGAAAATCGCCATTTGTTAGCCTACCAAGGAAGGTTAAAAAGTGTTTTAAAATAAACTAAGCGAGCAATTCTCTTTAAGATCTTGTAGGGGAAGGTATTGACTTTAATTTAGACATTTGGCAAATCTCAAAAATGATTTTAGCCGGGGTTTTAAGCATTTCCCCTCTCTATTCAAGTTTTGGCATTTTTTACAATTTAATTTCCATTTGATATTTTGACCACCTGCTATAAGAAGACAAGGACAAGGACAAAAAAATACGAAACATTCATAGGCTTACCTGAATTTGTGATATTTCACACAAATTTTGATATTTCTCAAAAAGGGTTAGAATTAGATACTGGATCTTATACAGGGTGGCCAATATATAACCGATTTAAATTGCGCGGCATTTTTTATGCACGCATTTCATAGGTGGCGCCGTACCGTAGTAGTTATTTGACGTACATGTGTCCAATTCATCATGGAGCGCTACTCGATCCTACAACACGTCCGTACTGTTAAACGGTTTACTTAAATAATGCGTCGATTGTTACAACGATTCGGAAGCTACGACAAGATTTCGGTCGAAATAGTGTGCCCAGTGTCAACATCATTCGTTAGTTGGTGCGGAAATTTGAACAACTTCTCGATTTGGTGATGTCAACTGGGCACCAAGGTCACCGGATATATGGCTCCTGACTTTTTTATGGGGATTTTAGAACAATAGGGTTTAATTGACGTATTTTACGAGATTTCATTTCACAAATATTCAAGATACAAACCAGTCAGTTACATATCGGCCCACCCTGTACAAAGAATGTATTTAGAATCTTGCGAGGATTTCAAAAATTGAAAAACACACAAGCAACTTGGTACATTTTGAAATATTTCAGCCGAGTTCCTCATAGCAGTTATACCATAACCCTAAGTTTTCATAATTGTCTAACGCTAACCTCTCGAGTAATCGATCGCTGCATTTCTACGTGGAACACCCTGTATAGTCCATAATTTACCTTTGTATATGCTGCTGCGCAGGATGGTTAATCTGAGAAGCAATCGATGCAGATTCAACAGGACCGTCTTCAACATATGAGTGTCAAGCAAAAGCTGTTCTGCACCTTCTGATTTAATCGGTTTGCACTTATAAATACTTTGAATAAACTTTGGAATGAAACTATCCACAAACTTGATACAAAACTTGGTGAAATATTTTCTGGAATGCGATAAATTATCTCTGATTATAGGAACTGTCGTTTTTAGATGTGTGTTATCGCTGTGATGTACGGACTTTGGTCTCCAACTGTATCGAAGTTCTGCCATTGAATCTGTGAACAAACGTATTATGACCGTGTTGAAAAATAAAAAAAAAATCAGAAAAAATGTCTTGTATCTTTGTTATGGTCGCAAACTTTTCAGACCACTGTCGTGTACAGAAGTATAAAACACAACATTGATTACTTAAAAATACTCTACTCGACCAAATATGGTGCAATTTGATCTAATAGTTTTAACTGAAACGTGGCAAGTGGTTGATATTTCTTGCTTCAATCAGCAGGGATATGACACGCTGTATAACTTTGGCACTTATAACCAAAACGATGGGGTGATAGTTTTGTAAGAAATAAACTGCAATATAATCATGATACATTCAGTTTCACCGATGGAATCAAAATTTTAAACATAATGATCCAAATTAACCATAACAAAATTGAGGGTATCTGCAATTTATCGTCCGCCATGTTCAGAACCCCACGAGTTTTTAAAGAATATCGATTTTTTTTTTTCAAAATCAAAATAAAGTTCATTTAAAGCAACATATTTTCTTGGGAGATGTCAATATAAATATTTTGGACGATGATCCCATCACAAATGAATACTTGAATATCCTATCAAGTAACGGATTTCTGTCCTATATAAACCTACCTACAAGGTCCATCAGTGGCACATGTATAGATCACTGCTTTGTGAAAGGACCTATCCAACAAAATTACTTGTATACCAATATCCTAGAAAGCTATATTACTGACCACTTCTCCACTATTTTACTGATATCTTCAAATGAAAAACTTCTAACATCCCTACCGTTAATAAAAACCAGGAAAATACAAATTTTTTGTCGACAATTCAAAACTACTATCAAAGTCAACAAGAATCCTGGGAACAATTATACTCTATATAAATAATATAGACAAAAGCAACGGGGACTGTTCATAGAGAAAATAACAAAAACTAATAGATATTAGTACCAATAAAGTAAAAATTAGTCACAAAGAGAAAAAGCAGGAATGCCTGGATTACCAAAGGATTAATACATCGGCATTAGAAAAAGAAAGACCTATATAATTTAACTATGTAACTACAGAGAATACCGACTGCTACAACCCAATATAAAAATAAATTTATAGAACTTGCAAGACAACCAAACGAAAACATTACCTAAATAAATTGAATAATAACTTAAATGATCCTAAGCGGCTTTGGACAACTATTGATGAGATTACTGGGAAAACAAAATTTAAAGAGTGTGTCACTGAGTTAAATACAACATCGGGAACAGTATTAAAAAATCTACTCAACACATATGCGACGAATTTGAACAATTCTTTACTGACATAGGCGAAAATTAGCAAGTAATATACAGCAAACGTACAAAATACTCAGCCTCCAAAAAAGAACTTTGAACTCATTATTTTGGATAAAGTCGAGCGATGTGAGTATACACCACTGTTATGGCCTTAAAAAATCGGGAAAAGTCCTGGGTTCGATGGTATTAAAAGCAAGCATTTGAAAATTATAGCCGAGGACATAACAGAACCACTCACTACCTAATCAAACAAATGCTTTGAATCTGGCATATATCCCTCAATTTTAAAAAAAGGTAATATAATACCGATACATAAATCAGGAACAAAACAGATGTTAACAACTATAGACCAATATCAATAATATCCAGTGTAGCAAAGGATTTTGAAAAGTTTCATCTACTAGAATGATTCGATACCTCACAAAATTCAAAATTTTAAGTGAAAATCAATATGGATTTACAGAAGGGAAGGCTACATCGGACGCAATAACTAAAATTGTAAATCAAATAGATCAAAATATTGATACAGAATCCATTGAATCTGCATTTTTGTTGATTTAAAAGAAGCTTTCGACACAGTTAATCACAAATTATTATTAGAAGCATTGGAGAGAATTGGTTTCAGAGGAGGAAACGCGTACTCACTGATCGAAAATTATTTGTCAAATCGCCCACAATCTGTGCAGATATCAGGATCAATTTAGTAAAGAAATGTATATTAGTGTGGTGTTGTCCCACAAGGAACTGTCTTAGGTCCGCTGTTATTCAATATATATTTAAATGATATTTTCCAAATTAATTGTGTTGGCAAAATAACTAGTTTTGCAATATTATATGAAGGCACTGACTGGTCTGATCTGAAAAATGTAATTGAAAATGATTTTATCAAAATTATTCGGGGGTTTAACAGTAAAAAATTAAGCATTAACTACTCTAAAAACACATTTTCTACCATTTGGATCTTATGCTAGACATCTGCCAAATTACACAAATTTCTCCTTCAACATTAATGATCAAAAAATGCAAATTAATAGAGTGCCCAACATAAAATACCTTGGAGTGGTCTTGGATCCTCACTTACGATGGGACATCCATGTCAATTATATTTTAAAGAAAGTTAGATTTGTATCCTACAAAATTAAATACCTTGGGAATATATTGACAGAAAAATATCTTCGAACATTATACCATGCACTGATTGAGCCTCATGTCACATATGGTATATTAGCATGGGGAGCTGCATGTTCCTCACATATCTATAATTTAGATGTTTTTCAAAAAAGTATGCTAAAAATGATATTTAAAAAACCGAACTTTACCCCACTGAAAAATTATACGCAGATGTTCGAATGTATGATATAAGACAGCTTTATTTCTTACACAGTATCACTCACTACCATAAATTTGTAAACACCGACCAAAAAATTAAACATAATCATTATACCAGGTACAAAATTTGTGGCACAGTAGTTCCTCAACCGCATAAATCTATAATGCAGCGATCATATCTCTATTTAGCACCTAAATTTTTATTAAATTATACCTAAATACTTAAAAGATTTACGTTTCGAAATTGTTTCAAAAGAAATTTAAAAAAGTGGCTACATTCTATATCTAGGACTGAAATTCATAAACTCATCAATACAAACATCAACTAAATACATAATCTACTGTAGCTAATTTTTGTCCTTTTTGTCATTTGCATTCTACAGTTTCACTTAAATTATTGGTCCATGTACAGGCGATGCCTTCTATTGGGCCTGTTTGATTTTATATTTATTTACTCCTACTTGTTTGTTATCTTTGTACATTGAGTGAATAAATATTATTATTATTATACATACCTTACTCATAGCTGTTAGGGCAGGTTCACAAGCATTTTCCAAAATCTTGCACCAAAATCTGTATACAATTCGAGATTACTCTAAAAAATACAAATATTACGAATTTGTTGTGACAATACCTGAGGCTTACTTGTGGAAGTCATCTTGCCCCTTAGAAAAATCTATCTGGTCTGCCAAGGAAGGATCAATTTTCTCCTTTAGCTTATCTTGTAACTGTTGCGTGGTTTCTAAACAATACTCTGCGGTAGTTAAAACGTAACAAATTTTTGTTTGCTCATCTTTGTGAACCTGCAAGATATAATATTCTGATATATCTTGATAACATAAAAAAGGCATAAAGAAACTTGTGAAAAAAAATGTCTACTATCTTTACAAACATACCTTGTGACTTCACCGTCCTTCAGAAGTGACGAAAAATTATGTATTAATCCCGACGTAGATATTTTCTGTAAATCTTTGGTGAAATTCTGCATAGAAGCACCTAACGTCTGCGTTTCTATTTTAGGTAGATTGCTCATAAGCAACTTTTCGGAATACTCGTGCAAATATTTTTGGAAAACCTTTGCCAGACTGAGCATGGTTTGCCCTCTATCCAGTTGGTTGCATTGAATCATGCTCTTTTTATAAAATACAAACAAATCTGGACAACTGGGCAAGATGGCGGCCTGGGTTTCGGTAGCTTCAGTGGGAATGCTCTGTTTTTGGTCCATGACAAAACGATCTATCAGGTCAGACAGATTTCTGTCCACACTGTCGATGTAGATTTGAAGATGTGGGATGAAACATTTACCTGGAAGTCAGTAGCTTTCTGATAACAAAAGAGTAAACTGTTGAAAATGCTTGTAAATGCAGTAGCATAGCCCGTTATAAAATTTCTTGAATACAGTAATGGACAAAAGTATATAGATAAATTAATATTGTGCTGTATTTCTATTTCAACTTGTTTTATTAATACACCAATCTGTATACATTATTCGTTATAGCATAATACTCACTTATACATAAATAAATTCATTAGACTCCCTTCAATAAAAAGTTAATTGAAAAAAACTTTAACTATGAAGGACAAAATATAGACAAAGCAAAACAATTATAGAAAAAAGAAGCAAAGTTCATTGAATTATAGAAAACCAACCATGTTTGTGTTAATATTTTGTAGCATAACCATTATTATCAATCACCGCCTGGCATCGTCTCGGCATAGATTGTTTCTTGATATAGATTCATCAATCTGTTTCCACTTTTGCTCAAAAGCAGCAAAAAGTTCATCCTTGTTTGAATAATTTTTATCTCGTATTTGCTTATCTAAGTATTCTCATAGATTTTCAATGGGGTTTATATCTGGAGACTGTGAAGGCCATTTGAGAACTGGTATTTTTTCATCCAGAAAGAATTTCTTTGAGAGATTAGAAGTGTGCTTCGGGTCATTATCTTGCTGGAAGATTGATTTTAAGGACATATTGTCTTCCATATAGGGTAACATGATATGCTTTAGTATGTATGTGTATACAACTTATCCATAATGCCATCTATTCTATGTAAAGGTCCCATCCCAAATCCCGA